GAGTTCGGGCTTCGACCGGAGGTGTAGGCACACGCTCGAGTCGCTCCAGCTCCTTGACGGAGATCTGCCGAGAGCCACGACGGGGCGGCGGCAGCAGCGACACGATCTCGGCGTACTCGTTCTCCGGCGCAGGCGGGTCCGACGCGACCGCGGTGCTGGGGAGCGCCGGCAGGGGGCGCAGGATCGGTGTGGACGCGGCAGAGAGCTCGAGGAAGCTCGGGTCGTTCTGCGTGTGGAACTGGATGATCTTCTCGCCGATGGGGGTTTGCGGGGGCGTGTTCTCGTGCGTGCCGTCGAGACGCGCGAGCGCGGCGGCGATGGTCGCGGGGAGGACGATGGGGCCGGGAATGGTCGGCGTCGTGGGCGTCGACGCGGAGAGGAAACTTGAGAGGGTCACGCCGCGCGGGCGGGACGAGACGTCGAGGCTCGTTGGGCGCAGCGCGGGCTCCGGGTTCAGCCGCTCCTGCGACGACTGCGGCGGCTCCTGCTCAGCGGGATGCGGCGCGGGCGGCGCGCTGAGGATGCGTAGACGTTTTTTGAGCTTGAGCGATGTGTGGCGAGCCAACGCGAGCGGGGGAGGTACTGATAGGGGCAGGCGTGGGCGGGAGCGGTCCCGCGCGGCGGGGGAGACGCAGGCGACGCAGGGATGGATTGTAAACTTCCACTCCCGTGCGCCAGATTGCTCAATAGACTACCGCGCGCCGCTCCTGTCCCTGGCCCTGTCGCGCTGTTACTCCTCCGATGCGTCTGCGGCGGCGGGGCGAGCGCCACCTCGTCCGGCCGCGGAGGCAGCACGCCCGCGGGCGGGGGCTTGGGCGCCATGAGCGACAGCCGCAAGGCACGGTGCGTCATCGACATCGACTCGCGGAACGACGCCTTGGTGCTGTTGGACACGCTCGCAGGCGGGGTGGGCGTCGTCGATGTGCTCCCGCCGCTGCTCCCCGTCAGCGGCAAGGACTTGCTGCTCGCGATCGATGGGGGACCCGGGACATCGAGGAACGACACACTCAACGACGGCGCCCGCGACTCGCGGAAAGACGTGCGGCTATTGGGGCTATCCATCGGCGCAGGCGGCAACGCCCCCGTCGGGGCAGGCCGCGGAGGCGGCGGCATCGATGTCCGCGTCCGAGACGGCGGGGAGCCGCTAAGCCCAGAGAGTCCAGAGACGCCCCCGCCCGGCGGCGGCGGCCCGAATATCGAAGCGGACCCCGTGCTGCCCGAGCTCGCCCCGCCCACGCTGCCGACACTTATGCCGCTCACCCCGCCCGTGGAGACGCGCTTCCCGCCGCGCGACGTCCACTTTGTCGACCCGAAGGAGGAGCGGCTGCCGGGCCTGTCGCGGCTCGCGGTCCCGGTCCCGGTCAGGGGAGGAAGAGGCGACGGCGGCGTACGGATGCGGGATCGTCGCGCCCGAGTGGGAATGCGAGTGCAACACGGCGGGCGGGGCAGGCGGGGGCGAAGCGGGCGGTGTAAGCCGCCGGGGTAGCGTCGACCAGCGGCGCGTCTTTCCGTTAGCGTTGGTATTCGCGTTCCCGTTCGCATTCCCATTGCCATTAAGATTCGGATTCCCCGACGTATGCCCCGCCCCACTTGACGCCCTCGACCGCCCTGTCCCCGTCGACACACTCCGCTCACTCCGCCCATCCCCGTACCCGTGCCCATTGACGCTCAGTCTTCCCTCATCCTCCCCATCCCGCTCCCGTTCGCCCTCCTCCTCGCGGATCGACTCCCGCGTCCCCACCGACTCGGCCCTCGTCCGCACGCTCGGCGTCCTCGCTCTCCCACCTGCCCCACTTCCCGCACCCGCACCCTCCCTCGGCATCGACCCCGCCTCCTCGAACGTCCTCACACTCCCCGCATACACACTCCCCCTATTCGATCCACCCCCACCCCCACCCCCCGCAATAGAGGACCGCACCCCAAAGCTCCCCGCGGTCCCACTACTCCCGCTCGCGTGCGGGTGCGCATACATCGTCCCCCCGCTCGAGCTCCCCGGGCGGTGACTCTGGCCGTTCGAACTCCCCGGGCGGTGACTATGCAGGCTCCCCGCGCTCCCGGGGCGTCCATTCGCACGCGAGTGCGTCGCGTACCCGTTGGACGCGCCGCCATACCCGTGCCCATCCTCCGAAATCGCAGCGCGCTCCCGATCCCGCCTCGAGCTCTTCTCCCACTTGCTCGCGCTCCCCGTCGCGCCTGTTCCTGCGAGTATGGTTAGTAGGAATCGTCATCATTGACGTTAGTGAACGCACCTGTGGACGTAGCAGACGAGAACGACCCGCCCGTCCACCGCTTCCTTCTCGGCGGCGGCTGCAGCGGCGTCCCACTGCCCCCGAAAGCACCGAGCCCGAAAGGCAACCCGAGCGAGGAGAGCGTGCGCCGTTTAGGCGCGATGAGTTCTTGGCCCTCTTCGTCCGCGTCTCCCGCTCCCGCTCCGTTCCCACCGCCGTTTGGATTTGAATGGGAGGCGAGCTCCTCGCGCGTGCCCACTATTCGGCGCTCCAACCCCCCACCGACGCCCACCAACGTCCCCGTACTCGTACTCGTACTCATACTCCTCCCACCCCCCGTCTCCGCGCCCGTACTCGTACTAGGCCGCGCCCTCGGCGCATGTACAGGCACAGCACCCACCCCACCCTGCACTCTGCTGCGCGTGAATCTCCCCCAACAGCGCGCCCATCCGCCCAAACGACTCCGCGCCGTTCGGGTTCCCGCCTACACTCCCATGTGCAGAAGCGGGAAGCAAGAGTTCGTCCGCGCTCGCGCTCGACGCGCTCACGTTCGCGCGGTACGGCAGCCCCGTGGACGTGGGGCCGGAGAGCGAGGTCGCGCGCGCGGGGTGCCCGTGCGCGTACGTATGTGCTGCAGCATTGTGCGCCCGCCCAATTCCGAGTCCGGAATGGCGCGTAGGACGACGAGCGCGAGCCGACGGAGACGAAGGACTGCGCCGGAGGAGGAGCGCGGGCGGTTCCCTGCTCCTCGCGCTGCTGCACTTGCCCCGCTCGCAATGTGGGTTTGAGACGCGCTGACAGCGGGAGCGGAGCCCCCGTACCCAGAGAACAGCCCCTTGAGCGCCTGCAACCGCGGTCGTCGGCCTCCCTCCCCGCTCTGTCCCACTTGCAGACGCAGAGATCGTCCCTGGGTTCGAACTCGAGCGCGCCGTCGTGGTCGCGCTGCTCGAGGAGGACGCGGACCTGCTCTTATGCTTGTTCGAATCTGAGCCCGAGCGCGATTTGTGCTTGGTCGAGTCGGAATGGGAGGCGGACGCGGAGCGCGAAAACGGGTTGAAGGAGTTTGAGCTGGGGAGGAAGGAGGTGGAGGGCGCGGGGGCGGTTGCCACTGAGCGCACGGAGCGCGAGCCGGACTCGGAGTTGGCGTAGTTGGACGCGGCGGAGGTGGAGGGCGCGAGGGAGGGGGCGTAGCCGTTCTGCGCGGGGTGCCCGTGTGTTGTGAGCGGCCGCGGGTAGGTGGGGGAGGTCGGCGTTGGCGGTTGACTCTGCGTCGCAGTTGGGGGCGTGGGCGCGCTAACGAGACGCGGTGTGTGTGGCGCGCTGACGAGACGCGGGGTGTGCGGCGCGCTGCCACTGGCCTGCAGGCGGAGGGAGAGCATGACGTCCATGTCCCCCCTAGGCTCCGAGCTGCTGTTCGGGGTCAACGTCGGTGCGAGGCCGGCGCGGTGTGTCCTGTAGAGAGATTAATTACCGCGAATGTAGCCTAATAGGCAGACAGACGCCTACCGCTGCTCCAAAATAGCGCTCTTGATAGCGGAGATCCAGCGCTGTGCGTCCGCTGGCGAAGCCAGCTGCAACAGCCACACCGTCCGCCCGGCATCGTCGGTGGGGTTCCAGTCGCGCTTTAGGGCACCGACGTCTGCACCGGCGACCTTGACGACGTGCCAGCCCGAGCTGGACTGGGAAACAGCGTCGGTGTCGTCGGCGACGAAGACGACGGAGTCTGCGTTGATCTCGAGGCGCTCGAGTTCGCGCTCGTCGGGTGCAGGGCCCTTGAAGAGGTGGAGGTGGGCGACGGCGGGGGCGGTGCGGGTACGGGTGCGAGGGAGGGGAAGGGAGAGGAGGAGGTGGCGGCCTTTCCACTGTTTTGCAAGGGCAAAGATGCGGAGGGAGGAAGGGGGGTAGTACTTTGGTAGTGAGTCTGCGAGGGTTACGAAGGGGGCGAGGAGAGCGGGCGAGGCGGGAAAGGGTGGTAGTGGTTCCTCTTCCTCTTCCTCTTCCTCTGCTTCGTTCTCCTTGTGCTCCTCAGCCTCTTCTGGGGGCTCTAGCAGGGGTCCGAGGCCAATAGACTGCGCAGCAGCGTCCTTGAGGCGTTGGCGCTCCTCGATCTCCTCGTCCGGCGGGGGCGCAGAGATGTCAATGACATGGGGCACTGCGAGGACGGGCTGCGGCGCTGGCTGCCGGATAGAGGGCCGCCGCTTGCCAAAGCGCAGTGTGTTGACGAAATTCATTTTTTAATAGCAGAACATTGAGTGAGGATGCTGCTCATGAAAGCAAAGGATCAAGCATTTTTAATTATAATAATTTCGTGCAAAGTGATCGCGCTTATTCTTCCGGACTTATCCCCAACTAACAAGGCACACACTCCAGGGTCGCTAACATTTTATTGGTCCTCCTCTGTGTCGTGTCCTCGTCAACTTGATATCATGACCAGTTGCCCAGAGACTGTTCTCCTGATCTCTTTCCGCTGTTCCAAGATCTCTGCCAGCTTCCGTGCGGCTGCAAACTTACTTTACAACCACTTCACAACTGGTAGTACGTCCTCTTACTTGGTTTGGGAGATGCCTGTGCGTTCGAACCCAGTGCTGCTACAAACTGTTTTTATTTTACTGGACTATCCTTCGAACCACACGGAATGTGATTTATCACAAATTTATCATTCCCAAACAGAGATCGGACATGATGCAAAGCCTCTTCCGTCTGAGAACGCTACGAGTTTTGGGAATTCGCTCCATTCCTCATTCACTCTGCTTCTAGCAGTCGAAGAGTATCTCAGACATGGTGTAGCGGTAACATACCTGCTTTATCTGCGCGGGAAAAGTCTTAGATTAAGCAGAGGTCCCGAGTTCGATCCTCGGTGTCTGGATAGTATCGCGTCGATATTTTTGGGTACCCCGAAACCAATAGCACGGTAACATCTACTTGATAAATAAAAAGGTTTGTAAGAGTTTTGTAAGTATCTTCCGACAAAGTCCAGGTTCGACTTAAGCGGCGTCGGCTCCGACGACGTCGATCATGTCAATGGAACCACAGTCTGCCGACCCCTGATCGGCAGCCTTGTCGATGCCTCGCATAGTCGGCACAGGGTCGTCAGCCGTCGGCAACGTGTGCCGACGTAACGCGGTGGTTTCGGATTTCTTCTTTTCAACTCTCTTTCTCGGAGTACTTGCACCACCTCCGAGTTCCGGTCGCATTCCGCTAAGCGACGCAGGACGATTAATTAATTTCCTTTTTAAGCGCTCGGAGGAGTAGGCGCCCGATTTGGATCCGGGAAAATGAAATTCGCGAAGAGGGGCTGCCTACAGCGTATATATGTCCCCCATTGCATAGCGCCATTGACAGGCAGCCAAGCACACAAGAAAACAGGCATGCAATGTATATGGACAATATCTTCCTCACCCCAATTTATTTCACGGATGAAAGAGTGGAAGCCATCAGACATGGTGTAGCGGTAACACATCTCCTTTGAATGCATTGCAGTGAGTGGTGTCGGAGAGGTCCCGGGTTCGATCCCCGGTGTCTGAATGTGAAAAAGGCAGAACGGTTTTGCTTACTTTCGGGAAACAAATAGGTTTTTTTTTTTTGGCAATCTGGCTCGGACGTCGGCGGGAAACGTTGGACATTGACAAGTCGAACGTATATGCGGAAGTGAGCCGCGCAAGACTGCCAGAGATAGAAATCGAGGGGGTAATAAAGAGACACGATGGCTCGCTGCTCAAATAATCGAGACGCGCTTCCCTCGACCACTCCAATCCGACGTTACGTGAAGTGCGTAACAGTAGTGGCCATAGAACAATCGACAATGCCCTGGGTGTTCATTAACGGAATAAACGCCACGAAAAAAAACGATTGGATTGGACATGGATATTATCGTCAGAGCAAGTCCCACAACGGCTGAATGCCATTCGTCAGCGACAAATACTTCCTGGATGCTCACCCCGTGCTTTGCTGAACAACAAGAAAAAAAGTCGGGGATAATCAATTCACGAAGCCATGTTTCTCCAAGCAACAACCTACCACTCCGCGAAATACGTCCGACGAATGCGTGTGGCGAGGCATGGGCGAGGAATCCGCCGGTGCGCACTATTCGACCAGGGAACGGCCCGGGCCCCGGGCCATTCACTTTTCCGGCCGGGGTTGCATTTATGAGGTGTCCTGGACGTGCAACGAGCCGAACGGCGGAATTTCCCATGCAGGGTTCGTCAACACGCCGCGCCAGGAGAGCGGGTGGGCTTCGTCTCGCTGTTCTAATCGTCCCTCGCGTTGCAATGTTTACTTTCGCGGCACGATGTAATGTACTTTGCTCAGCGTGGACACGGTCATAACGCAAAGACGGTGCGCACCGCCAGTAAGGAGACGCGCTTCCCTCAAGTTCGACCACTCCTGTTGAAGTGCGTTAACAGTACTAGTCATATTTGAACAGTCGTGGATGTATTGACGGAGTAAACTCTGGATAAAAAACACAATTGGATTCACGGATGTCGGACCAAGTCCCACAACGGCCGAGTGCCTCTCAAATAGTCTATTCCTCTGTCAGTGGTAAATACTTCTAGACACCTAGTTGCTCACCCCGTGCAGTTTGCTGAGGAAAAGTCGCAGATAATCAGTTCATAAAGGAATGTTTCTCCAAACAAGAACATACCCCTCCACGAAAAATCAACCCATCGTCGGGAAACCAAGCCGGTCCACCCTCGATCCCCAACTCGGATTCGAACTTGTCGAGCAACGGCTTATGAGGGATTTTAAAGCATCCATGCCTAGGGGTGATTACACCCAGCTCCGGGTCGTTCAGCGCGAGAAAGACGAGCACGACATCGGGTTCCGTCACGAGGCAGCTGTGCCTTGGTATGTGCAACTGCGCCCCGAGGACCCTCCCCACGCGCTCCAGCTCTTCCTCGTTCGTTTCGTCGAACGAGTCGTACAGCTTGTAGCCGTAAAAGTACAGCACTTTCGGGTATTCGGGAGCTGGAGGAGGTGGTTCGATCTGGTCGTCGGGTCTATAAGAATTAATGTTGAGATAGGAGTCCGACTACCTGAAGGTATGCGGAACGCACAAAGACTGGGGTTTTAGAGTCATCGTGGTGGGTTGCAACTTGCACGACCAGTCACGCGACAAAACAATAACAGGTACCTTTCAAGGATAAGCCAAGTGGTCGATCGGCCGAGTGAACGGGAAGACCAGGCCGCTCGAGCTGAGTAGGGAGCGACGGGGAGCGCGCGTCGATGGCGCAAAAGTCTCCACGCGTCGACAAGGCGATCAGATAGCGCGGAACGGGAAGGAACCGACTCTGAGCGCGTCGAGGACAAAAGGGGTCGTGGTACGCGAGCAGGAACGGTGTGACGAGTCACGCTCGCGTGTGCAATCATGTGCGCTGGTACGTAGTGCAGAGTGGGAGATTTGGCCTGAGCTCGCAAAAAAAATCGACCGGGCACAAACTGTCAAGATAAATTAAGAGCAATCCGTACCCGTCCTAACTGCAGAAAAGAATGAAGCGAAAAAATCGTGAGTGCAAGCCGTCGTCGTCGTCCAATCCAATGTAATCCAGGGCACCAACCAAACCGACATCTACTCCTCCTCGACGGGCTCCTCCCCGCCGTCGTACTCGCCCTCCTCGTCGACGCTATCAAGCGGTTAGTAAATCGATGGTGTCGAGGAAGGGAGGAAGACTCACGTGGCGTCCTGGTACTGCTGGTACTCCGCGACCAGATCCTGCATGTTCGACTCGGCCTCGGTGAACTACAGCCCCGCATCAGCACCTTTCTTTTCATAAAGACTCCGCCGCAGCGCTTACCTCCATCTCGTCCATACCCTCCCCGGTATACCAATGCAAAAACGCCTTGCGCTTGAACATGGCCGTGAACTGGTCGTTGACGCGCTTGAACAGCTCCTGGATCGCCGTCGAGTTCGCGATGAAGGTCACCGCCATCTTGCGGCCGCGGGGCGCAATGTCACAGTGCGCGGAGAGCACGTTGTTGGGGATCCACTCGACGAAGTAGGCCGTGTTGTTGCGCTGGATCTTCTGCATCTCCTCCTCGACGTCCTTCATCGAGATTTTGCCACGGAAGATCGCTGCGACCTAAGTATAGAGCGGTTGGTGCTTGAAGTTTAGATGGAATAAGAGGCAGCGCACGGTGAGGAAACGTCCGTGCCGCGGGTCGGCGGCGGTCATCATGTTCTTGGAGTCGAACATCTGCTGGGTGAGCTCGTGGACCGAGACCTGGCGGTACTGTGCGCTTCCGCTGGGGGTGAGGGGGGCGATACCGGGCATGAAGAAGTGCAGACGGGGGAACGGCACTTTACAGAAATAAGAAACGGTAGAAAGAGGACGGAAGGGAAAAGAACAGACCAAGATTCACAGCGAGCTTGCGCAGGTCAGAGTTGAGCTGTCCGGGGAAGCGGAGACAGGTGGTAATGCCCGACATGACGCTGGACACGAGCCCGTTGAGGTCGTTGTGTGTCGGCGTCTGGATCTTGAGCGTGCGGAAACAGATGTCGTACAGCGCCTCGTTGTCGATACAGAACGTCTCGTCAGAGTTCTCGACAAGCTGGTGTACGGACAGCGTCGCGTTGTAGGGCTACCGAGGGCGCAATAACAAAATTCCGGTTCGTCATCGACTCTCAGGAAGGGAGCAGAGCGGAATAATGCACCTCAACAACGGTGTCGGACACCTTGGGCGACGGCACGACGGAGAAGGTGCACATCATGCGGTCAGGGTATTCCTCGCGGATTTTGGAGATGAGGAGGGTGCCCATTCCCGACCCAGTTCCTCCACCAAGCGAGTGAGTGATTTGGAAACCTGGGGTGTAAGGAAGATGGTAAAAAAAAGTTGAAGGACTGGACACTGGGACCAACAAACCTTGCAGCGAATCGGCGCCCTCGGCTTCGCGACGTACGACATCCAGAACCGAGTCGACGAGCTCAGCCCCTTCAGTGTAATCTGTTGGAAGAGTGAGGCCCACATCGGACAAAAAGGTGGCAGGGTTCACGCACGTCCTTTTGCCCAGTTGTTTCCCGCTCCACTTTGTCCGAAAACGAAGTTGTCGGGGCGGAAAAGAGCGCCAAAGGGGCCCGAACGAATGACGTCCATGGTGCCCTGGTTCGAGATCTACGAGGACAGCGCGCGGCACATACTTGGCGGAGCCAACCTCGTTGTAGTACACCGAAATGCGCTCTAACTGGAGGTCGCTCGTGTGCTGATCCCTGGCAGCGAGCGGACGCGTTAGATGGATTGCAGCGCGGGATAAGACAGCCTCGTACGCAGTGGCCGTGTAGAGTCCAGTCTTGTCGAGACCGTGCTCCTCCGACAGAACCTCCCAAAATCGTGTTCCTAATCGACGAAAAAAATCAAGGGGTGCCAGCGGACGGGTGGCTCGACGCGTACCGATTTGGTTACCACACTGCAATGTGGGTCAGCGGCGCGTAGACGGACAAGACAGCGACATACCTGGCCCGTTTGTATGTGCACAATTTCCTGAGAAGAAAGGGTGAGGGACGATAAAGGATTGCACGGTGTAGTTTAGTTTACCCTCATGTTGAAGTTGGGGGGGAGAGGAAGTGGTGGAGGGGTATCGGGTGGGGTGGGGTAAAGGCTAGCTTCAAAATGGTGAGTTGAAGTGCGAACACAAGAACGAGTGTTGATATTTTTCTCAATCAGCCCACATGATCAGACGATTGACTCAATTGAATCCATCACATTTTTATTTCCTTGCCCTCGCGCTCCCGCTCGACAATGCCGGGGCCGTGGCGCGAATCGGAGAATCATTTGTGAATCGAACTGACTCGGTCTGTTCAAATCGCGACTTTGCGGAGATGAGGACACCGATATATCTAAAGATACCAACTATCCATCCTCACAAATAACTAGTCTAGACTCAAGGAGACGCGGCATCGCTGTTGCGCCATTTCTGCGGCAGGCTCAGGCTGCAGCCGTACGCGAGTTTAGCCATCGGTTGAATGGTTCCGGATGGTTCACGCGACGGTTGGGATTGTTGCGGCGCGATTTCGATACAAATACGTACGTGCAGGACGAGCGTCGAGGATGTGTGCGCGAACTACATGACATCGTAGAGGCCAGAGGCCCAGACGAGGCCCAGAGGGAGTTCGATTGAGCTGGATTTGTTTACCAAAGCCCCAGAATCCAAACATCGCGTTCGCGTCTCGTCTCAACCACCTCGACAGTTTCAATTCGGCTTTGGTCTACTAACCACCATGTCCACTGAAAGCGAACTCAAGAAGCTGACTGTCCCTCAGCTCAAGGCTCTATGTAAAGAGAAACGGGTAAGAATACAAATATTCGCCAGGATACAGAAGTGACCCGCTTTCTATGTAGGTTACTGGATACTCGAAACTTGGCAAGGATGCTATCATTCAAAAGCTGCTTGGGATCAGGCACCCAGTCCTCTGCTCCGAGCGTGGCTGCCCCCACATCGCTGGTTCCAGCTAGCAACGGCACTCCCATTCAGACCTCGCAACCTCAGAGCTCCCCAGCACTAACCACTCCTTCTTCTCAGCCTCCCTCGGTCA